CCCGCACTCAGTTGCTCGGGATGAGTTTTCCTGCAGCTCACGGCTCCGTTCCCTGCAGGACATCCGCAACCAGCGGCGCTGCCGGCAGCAGCGCAGGGAGGAGCTGCGGAAGCTGCGGCAGACGCTGCGCGGCCTCGAGGCCAAGACTTTGTTCTACGAGGAGCAGATCGATTATTACAGCCAGTACATCAGGAGCTGCCTGGACAGCCTGGCAGCCAGCAATCAGTGCGTTCCTTTCGGGAGGAAAACACCCGGCCGCGGGTGCCCTTACCTGTGCCCTAATCTGTGCCCTAAACCTAACCCTAACCTGCACCCTAACCCATACCCTAACCCTAACCCTAAACCATGCCCTAACCCTAACCTGTGCTCTAACCCTAACCCTAACCTGCACCCTAACCCATACCCTAACCCTAACCCTAAACCATGCCCTAACCCTAAACCGTGCCCTAACCCTAACCCTAACCCTAACCCTAACCCTAACCTGTACCCTAACCCTAACCCTAACCTGTGCCCTAATCCGTACCCTAACCCATACCCTAACCCTAACCCGTGCCCTAACCCTAACCTGTACCCTAACCCTAACCTGTGCCCTAACCCTAACCCTAACCTGTACCCTAACCCTAACCCTAAACCATGCCCTAACCCTAACCCTAACCTGTGCCCTAACCCATACCCTAACCCTAAACCATGCCCTAACCCTAACCCTAACCTGTGCCCTAATCCGTACCCTAACCCTAACCCTAATCTGTACCCTAACCCATACCCTAACCCTAAACCGTGCCCTAAACCTAACCCTAACCTGTGCCCTAATCTATACCCTAAACCTAACCCTAATCTATACCCTAACCCATACCCTAACCCCAACCCTAAACCATGCCCTAACCCTAACCCATAGCCTAACCCTAACCCTAACCTGTGCCCTAACCCTAACCCATAGCCTAACCCTAACCCTAACCTGTGCCCTAACCCTAACCCTAACCCTACTCTAACCCTAACCCATACCCTAACCCTAACCCGTACCCTAACCCTAAACCGTGCCCTAACCCTAACCCATGCCCTAACCCTAAACCTAAACCATACTCTAACCCTAACCCTAACCCGTCCCCTAACACGTACCCTAACACGTACCCTAACCCTAACTTGTGCCCTAACCCTAAACCTAAACCATGCTCTAACCCTAACCCTAAACCGTGCCCTAACCTGTACCCCAATCCTAACCCTAACCCGTGCCCTAACCCTAACCCATACCCTAACCCTAACCCTAACCCTACCCTAACCCTAACCCTAACCCTAATCGGGGGAGCCCTAACCCTAACACATACCCTAACACATGCCCTAACCCTAAACCTAAACCATGCCCTAACCCTAACCGTAACCTGTGCCCTAACCCTAACCCTTACCCTAACCCGTGCCCTAACCCTAACCCTAA